CCTTGAGTGCTCACCCGACGGCCATGGATCCCATCCATCCAACCCAATACAATCACCAGCTCGCCAAATACAACCATCCTCCATTCTACTCTTACCTCTCCTTCGAGCCTCCACCTTGCAAACTCGCCTTTTCCTCGCACAAGGCTTGCACCAACACTTCCCTTCTTTAGCTCGTTTGGTCTTGCGTCTCTTAGGCTTAAGTTTAGCTCGTGGACCACATCCTTTCGGCCAATCCCTCACACATGATGGCCGGTAAATAGGACTAGATGGCTCCTCCAACATATTTTCTAGACAAATATTGAGACCATCGCCACTTTCATCCTCCGACTCGCCTGAGTTGATGACCACTTCCGAATCAACGGTCCTGGCATGCTTCTTAGGGCCAAATGACTTGGAAATTATTTCTAAGTGTCTGGTTTGACCCCGGTTTGACTTTGGCTCGGTTTGGTCAATACGAAAAGATATAAATCGATCATTAGTCCAATTTAAACTGAATTCCGACCGACTTAATTATATTAAATCGAACAGGGCATTATATCATCTTTTAGGATAATATAATATGATTACTTGAACGAGCAAAATAATAGAATAATAATAAATACTACAAACTCAATTAATTTAGACAATAAGGCAAAAATAATAATTAATATGATGATAATAATAATAATAATAATAATAATAATAATAATAATAATAATAATAATAATAATAATAATATTATTATTACGTAATCAAACGGGGCGTTACAGTCTACCCACCTTACAAAGAATTCTGTCCTCGGAATTCGAAAACAAAACAACTAAGAGGTAAAGAGAGTGCAAGAAGGGGACATCAAATGTGAGGTTCGGGTACTCCCTCCGGATCTTGGTCTCCCCCTGCCAAAAAGTCTCGCCCTCGACTTGACTACACTCACTGGACGCTGACGGGTACCCCTCCCGGTCCTTCCCTGATGGACCTTCGGTTCCAACAGGTCACTGGTACCTCCATACAGGTAGGGTTCTGCCTAATACGCAGCTCGTAAAAATACATATATACCTCGAGGTCACGCACACATTCTCTCCATTACGAGGCTAGAATGTGGCATGCATGCTCACAAGTCCCGGTGGTGGAGTCAACCATCAGGCTAAGCTATTGACTTGGTCGAGAACTCATGATAAGACCGACAATCATCACTTATTCTCAAAATCTGGTACATTTAGAACACACGTTTCTGTTTGATACCACTGACAAAGCCTCTCTCCTCCCCGACACGAACAACATCCCGTATGCAGTTTTGGAAGTATAGGCTAGATACTCAATAACGATTTCCTTCCACTGAGTCGGTCTCCAGTCGAGACTCAAGGCTCCGCCCCATATTAATACAGAACTACTATTTCGCCATGTCGAGAAAATCTCGCATGTGGCAAAGGAAACTAATCGACCAACCTCACACATTGAGGGTCGTTGATTAGGGAATGCACACAACGACTCGAAAGATTAACATACACTTTGACCAAAAGAAATCTGGTTCAAAGACCTCTTAAAGGACAAGGTCGGACTGGGTATAATGCACTGTCACCGAGAGGTGACACACACGCTGGCGCTGCATATGCGGGGCGCTGGGACGCGTGAATGTATTAAGGTTTGGCCGTACACACTGACCTGGGGAGTTTGGCGTTCGGTGATGGCGGCGGCAACTCTCGTACGAGTCAACGGTCAGCCACTGCATTTTGCCTCACGTCTCTCAGCACGGGCATGCGGGCTCGGCCACCACTTCGCGAGGCTACACCCAGTTAGGTTCGGTACTCGGTTCGAGGTGCACACTAGAAATTCAATTTGTGGGTTTCACAATTTCTTAAGCACTGCGACAGGACGAAGGATTTGACAACAACAATTTCTCCAAATGGGATCAAACATTGGCATCACTACCAGGAATAACCCTAACTCGACGGTCAACGCTGATCCACAAAATGGTTAGCTCATTTGACTCTTCTGACCATCAATGTCGGCCGTCACGACAACTTTTACTCAGGTAGCTAATCGTGTCGGCAGTCCTAAACGAGTTCAACCTCACATACAGCCTATAGTTCTCCACACTTCGAGATATTAGCATAAAGCTTCTCTCGTACGTGTTACCAGTCAACATTGATATAACAACAATCAAATTAATTCACATAAGGCACATAAGCATGCATATCGAAGGTAACACTTATTTTCGAAAACATAACTCATGCGATATAACTGAACCACATAGTCTCATATGAATATAAGTCCTAAGACATGTGGCTACAATTCTCATTTAAATCACACAAGCATACAAGGTCGTTCAATCACATTTTTTTAGCAACATTAAAATCATGATCGCAATTCAAAGCAGGAAATAGTCAACTTACAGGGTTTTAGAAAATTGAGAATTTTATAAGCTACTGGCACTCAATTAACACGATTCAAGACTCAAGTTAAGCCTTAGGCATGCATCTAGAATATTTATTTAGATCACAGAAATAGATAAGGTCATTAAGATAGTGTAAAACCAATTAACATTTAGCAATCAATTTCTGCCATCATTACCAACTCATCTCATGCATATCCTAAATAGATTTAACATAAATCGAGCCACAGTCATCATATAAGCATTAACTTTATCTCATTAGAAAGCTAACAAAAAATACAACAGGCCTATAACTTTCTTGTTGATCACTTAAGCCAAAAAAAAAATAACTTTAAAACCGAGTTTAAGCTTAAAACACTTAGGTCAAGAAATATGCCAACGTAACTATTTATAAATTACAGCAGGTCACTAAAACAAGAATATCTCATGCCACAAAACTCCGAATCATGCAAACTCAAAACCTACAGAAACTACACTTGAATTGCTACAAGTTCCAAGAAGGGCATCTTTGCAAATAATCACGTTAAGGGCCTCATTTCAGAGCATACATTTCAATCGTAAACACAACCACTGTTTTAAAATTTCTAGGCATAACTCCAACTTTGAAAAATCATATAAAATCAAATAAAACACCAAATTGCAAGATTTCAACTTCCAGAGAAAGCTTATAACATGTACTACAAGTTTTATGTTGATCATATTTTCACATTGTCACATTAACATTGTAAAAAAAACAGCCCAACATCGTGATTCACAATTCTGCCCAGAATTTCAAAAACTGCTCGCAGTTACAACTTAAAAAATTCATAATAAATTCAATTCAACTCCAAATTTCAAAATTTCAACTCTGA